GTGAAAGAGAGAGAAAGCGAGAAAGCAAGCCGCCAGGTCTGGGACTTGAACTGTGGTTGGCCATGTGAGAGTCCAGCGCCCTTAATCATCGATCCACCTGACAGAGCATGCCCTGGGTAAGTTTCAAGCTGCTATGTCTGGGACTCAAAATGCAGTGGACTATGTGGGAGTCCAGCGACAGAATCATTATGCCATCTCCTGGTCCTTGAACATTTTAATTTCAGTCTTCCATCCCATTGTGATCTGGTGTACGTCCATTTAAAATAAATGGAGTTGGATTATTTAATTGGGGGCCAAAGGCTTAGATAATCCACACTATGGGCTTTGATACAGCTTGTCTGGAGGATTTTCTCTCACACATTTAACCTTACAATTATGTATTCAGACTGATTTTTTTGTTTTTTTTTGAGAGATTTTCACTGTAGGGCGCGTGCGCTCGCCAGACAGACAGAGAGAGACATAGAGACAGAAAGCGAGAAATCACCCCCCAGGGGGGATGGTCACGCCGCAATCCCTTCTCCTCCATTCTCCTCTCGGGATCTTGGGCACGCACGCACACACACCCGGCGTGAGTTTTAAGCCACCGGGTCCGGGACACGAACCGCGGTCGACTACGTGGGAGTTCAGCGACATAGCCATTACGCTAACTGCTGGTTCCCTATTCAGACTGATTTTTAAGTTAAGTACAATTTATTGAATAATAATCATGATGCTGAGACTGAATTGAAAGAGAACCTAACTCCTGCCCACCTGAATTTAGAGTTGAGTTGGATTAATCAATTATAGAAGGCTGTGGGACAATAAGTAGTGTTGAAATTCACAAGAGAAGATCAGTATGAACTCAGTATTGGCGCAGAAAGCCTTAAAAAGTCATGAGTTTGGTCTTGAAAGAATGTAGAGTAAGAAATGAGTCAAGTTTTAGTTGAGGGGGGACAGATAGCTGTCTAAGTTCTCTGAGAAGCCAAGAGCCCTTGTTTGCTTCCCTAAAGATTCATTTACTTCTTATGCTAGTTCATAGTGCCTACTGGATTCAGTCCCTAATCCGTAACTTTCCTGCAGGGTTTTGTGCAGTGTGGCCTCAGCTGGACTTTAGAGTCTCACCTCAGTGTTCTCTAAAACAAATCTGGCAAGATTGGTGGGTCTGCACAAGGTAATGCTGAAGATATCTTGTACTACCCACTCTCAAGCCTTGGTGTCCTTCCACATGTATTGCCATCCCTTACAGTTTTTGTCTATCCAAACTCCACTCATCCTGAGGTCACAGGCTTGAAGACTTAGTGTAGGTACCTCTTCATGAAGCTTCTGAATCAGACTCCTGACTGAAGAAGGAAACAAAGAGATACAAGAGATATTTACATGAAAACCTGCAAGATTTGATGGCTGATGAGCAGTAGGGGGAAGTTGGGTACAATTACCTATGTTCCCTTCATTATCATACCTTTTTAAAACAATCTCTTACAGTTTGTATTATCTTAATTGCCATTCACTTTTCAAACATAGGGCCCTGTGTCTGCTTCATCAGAACTGGTTTTATGCACATTACTGGCATCTTAACTCAAGAATGCACTGGATACATTTTTTCCAGAGCTTATTTTTTGGACCCCCTTAGTATTTTTATGAATATGATTACTCCTTGTAACTCTTTTTTTTTTTTGAGAGGTTTTTGCTATAGGGCACGTGTGCTCGCCAGACAGACAGAGACAGAGAGACAGAAAGTGAGAAATCATCCCCCAGGGGGGATGGCCACACCACAATCCCTTCTCCTCCATTCTCCTCTCAGGATCTTGGGCATGCACGCACACATGCCCGGCGTTGAGTTTGAAGCCACTGGGTCCAGGACGCGAACCGCGGTCGACTACGTGGGAGTCCCGCAACATAGCCATTACGCTAACTGCTGGTACCCCACTCCTTGTAACTCTTGTGCCTTGCTTTTGGAAGCACTGTTTTCTTCTGGTCTGTCTCTTGCCTTCTGAGTACCTTTGCCTACTCCTGTTTCTCCAGCTGTTCGTTAAAAAATTGGTTTTCCCTAAAACAATTCACTCCTGTAGGTGATCCTATCCTCTTCCATAATTTTGGGTACCACTACATGCTGCTCTGGCTTCTAGCTGACTCCTGAGTGCTAGATGTTCATAGTTGCACTGAACATCATTCTTTTCTGCCACCTCTACCTTCCCATTACTACTTTGGTTAATCTTTTTTATTAATTATTTAATTTTACTTATCATTTTTTAATTTGACTTGAGAGAAAGAGAGAGAAAAAAAGAAAAAGTAAGAAAGCAAGTCTCCAGGTCCAGGACTCAAACTGTGGTCAGCCATGTGGGAGTTCAGCACCTTAACCACCATGCTACCTGCTGGCCCCTACCTTGGTTAATCTTAGCAACTGGTTTCCCAGTCTGTAAAACCTGCATAATTTTCTTTCCTTCCATATTCAATCTGTTACCAAGTCCTATCATTATTTTTTGTTTTTATTTTTTTCCAGCAAAGCCTGATTCTGTTGTCTGTCACTGCCACTTAGATCCTAAGTTTTTTTCCTTTGTTATTAACATATTGCTATGCTATATGTTATTGCTATGCTTTTCTCTCACTCTAGTTTATTCTCCACACTGCTATCTATTCTTCACATTACTGTCAGAAAGAACCCCCCTGGAAATAAATTTGAACATATCATTCTGTGTTCGTAGGGTAGGTCCAAAATCCTGAGTGTGTCCTGTAAGTCTCTTCATTATTTGGCTCTACTGCATTTTTTTTTTTAGAGGTTTTTGCTATAGGGCGCGTGCGCTCGCCAGACAGAGAGAGAGAGAGACAGAGAGATAGAAAGCAAGAAATTACCCCCCAGGGGGGATGGCCACGCCGCAATCCCTTCTCCTCCATTCTCCTCTCGGGACCTTGGGCACGCACGCACACGTGCCCGGCATGAGTTTAAGCCACCGGGTCCGGGATGCGAACCGCGGTCAACTACATGGGAGCCCAGAGACATAGACGTTACGCTAACTGCTGGTCCCATCTACTGCATTTTTTTCCCCTTTAATTTGCTACAGGGTGCATGTGCTTGCTGGAGAGAGACAGTGTGTGAGAGTGGGAAAATGAGAAAGCACCCCTTTAGCATGGATAACCATGCTGCAATTTCTCCTCTATTCTCCTCTTGGAATTTTGGGCACACACACACATATACATGCATGCATACATGCACAGGCACACTGCCATGCATGAGCATGCTGCCGTGTTTTTCAAGCTCCTGTGTCTAGGACTCAGACCTCAGTTAGCCACATAGGATCCAGTCACCTTAAGACCACATCACATAACTGCCCTCTGCTGTACTTTTCTACCATATCTCCTGCTTCCTGCCCACATGGAGCATACATTACAGCACACTGAATTTTTTTTTCACTGCTCTGTAAACTTAGTATTCTCTATTGTGTTTCTGAGCATTGGGATATGCTATTATTATTTTAAAAACAATTATTTAATTTGTCATTATTAATATTTTAATTTGCTATAGGTCACTGCGCATTCACCAGAGAGACAGGGAAAGTGATAAAACAAATTGCCAGGTCTGGGACTCAAACCGTGGTTGGCCACATGGGAGTTCAGTGCCTTAACCACCATGCTACCTGCTGACCCCAATGTATGCTATTATTTTTGCCTGAAATATTCTACCTTGATCTTTTTTTTTTTTTTTGAGAAGTTTTTGCTTTAGGGCGCATGCGCTCACCAGAAAGACAGAGACGGAGAGAAAGAAAGTGAGAAACCACCCCCTAGGGGGGATGATCACGCTGCAATCCCTTCTTCTCCATTCTCCTCTTGGAATCTCAGGCACGCACGCACACATGCCCGGTGTGAGTTTAAGCCACCGGGTCCAGGACTCGAGCCGCGGTTGACTACATAGGAGTTCAGTGACATAGCCATTATGCTAACTGCTGGTCCCTCTACCTTGATCTTTTTTTTTGGGGGGGGGGAGGTTTTCGCTATAGGGCGCATGTGCTCCCCAGACAGACAGAGACATAGAGACAGAAAGCGAGAAATCACCCCCCAGGGGGCATGGCCACGCTGCAATCCCTTCTCCTCCATTCTCTTGGGATCTTGGGCACGCATGCACATGCGCCCAGCGTGAGTTTTAAGCCACCGGGTCTGGGATGCAAACCATGGTCGACTACATGGGAGTCCAGCGACATAGCCATTATACTAACTGCTGGTCCTAGGGTAGGGCTGCTTTAATGATTTACCACTATTACATGGCTTGAAACAAAAGGAAGGTATTTTCTGATAGTTCTGGAGGCTGAAAGTCTAAAATTAAGGTATCAGCAAGACTCTCTCTGAAACTCTAAAGAAGAATCCTTCCTTAACCCTTTCTATTAGGTCATTGGGAAAATCATGATGTGTTTTTCTGTGCAAAAATGTGTGATGACTTTCCCGACAACCCAATAGTTTCTGGTGGCTTCCAGCCATCCTTGGTGCTCCTTGGTTTGTAACCATAGCACTCCATTCTCTGCCTTCGTTGTCACAAGGAATCTTTGAGTCACCCTTTCTTTTCACTTATAAAGATACCAGTCTTTGGACTTAAGGCCCCCTAACTCATTTTGATCTCAACTAATTACTTCTGTAAAGGCCCTATTTTGAAATAAAGTCACATTCTGATGTCGTAGGTAGGCATGGATTTCATGGGACTCTACTTGACCCAGAATATTTCCTTCCTGGAATGGAAAGAAATGGAGGGGTGGAAATGGAAATACCTGGAGATATAAATGTACAAGAAACCTTGTGCATTTGTTCTGCTATTAGAATTAAATGTTCTCGTGGTCACCTGGTTTTGCAGTTAAACTATTTGAAGACTTCATAGGTTTTCTCTCCTCCCTTTGAATTAGAAGTATTTCAGTCAAAAAAACTGAAACAGGTTTATATAAAGGTTTTATAAAGAAGGTTGCCTTTGAGCTGTGTCCTTAAGGATGAATAGGAGGTCAGGCCATGGGGTGGTTAAGGGCCCTGGACTCCCACATGGCCGACTGCAGTTTGAGTCCCGGACTTGGCGGCTTTCTTTCTTTCTCTCTGTCTCTCTCTTTGTCCCTCTCTGGTCAAAATTAAAAATAAGTAAAATAAATAAACTTAAATAAAATAATAATTTTTTTTAATTTTTTATTTTTATTATCATCATAATCTTCTTCATATTACATTGGATTACATATAACTTTACAGTGTATTACATTGTTTCTTCAAAAGGGAATGCCATGCACGTCAGTCAGTACAGAGACATTAATCTCCCCACTTCAACATTCCATATCTTTTCTGTTTTCCCCAATCATTATCTTTATTATTCTAATTATTTTTATAAAACAGTCAATTGCTATTTCTCGTTTTGCTTGTAAAAATACTTTGCCCATCATGAAACACTTCTCAGACCAATCCAGTTGAGAATTCTATACATGTCATCATCAACAGTTAATAAACCCTATCTGTTTCTCACTGACGTCCTGTCTCTCTATTGCTCACTTGCTATCTTTCTCTATCCTCTTCTCTTCACTTACCCCATTCCACACTGTCCTATTCTCATTAAGTACCTTCACTTCAAGAATGGTAGAGTAGTTCCTGTTCTTCCCTGAGGCAATGCAGGGCTGGTAACCATCATCTTCTCAAGTTGCAAGTTCTCAGACCTTGTTTTCCGCTTCAGCTTGCTGGTCCAAAGGCCACACGCCGGCCCTGGAGAGGCAGCTGAAC